TGAGATCTACTCTTTCTTAAAAAAATATACATATATAGATATATATATTTTATTGATTTCAGAGAGGAAGGGACAGGAAGAGAGAAATGGAAACATCAATGATGAGAGAGAATCATTGATCGGCTGCTTCCTGCATGCCCCCTACTGGGGTTCAAGCTGGCAAACCCAGCATGGAATCCAACCATGACCTCCTGGTTCATCTGTCCATGCTCAACCACTGAATCACCATAGCAGGACTAAAGGTCCACTCTTAAAGAAGAAAAAATATTCAACGGCACTTGTTTAAAATAGAAGGCAGATTTTATTTTGGCCTGTGGAGATAGTTGTAGGAACCACTGCAATGGGATTTCACAGTGGGGGAGAAAGGTGGGTCAAGTCCAAATTCAGTATGGTCAAGTGGGTGAAAAATTACTAGGAGAAGACCACACAGGTGAGGGAAGTTCCAGCTAAACCCACTAACTGAAAGCAAGCCAGAGAGATCAGACATTGCCTGAGGGATGATAGAAGATAGACCCAATGCCTCCCAGAGGGATGATATGGAGGATGATCAAGTACTCTGTGTGTGTGTGTGTGTGTGTGTGTGTGTGTGTGTGTGTGTGTGTGTTGGGGGGGGGGGATGCGGTGTTTTTTTTGGGAAGGAGTTCTGGTAAACTGACTTGGTAGTGTTTTTGCTAAAACCAGATTTTACAAGGAAGTGCACAGAGGCACCTAGGAGAAAGTTTAGGAGCCTGACTAAAGTTTGACCAAGCAAAGCATCCTTGCCATTACCTCAAGTATTCTTAGACCCATTGCTTCTAGGAGCTGTCCAGGGCGTTTTCTGTCCCAGCAGCCAGACTAGACCCAGTGGTCGGCAAACTCATTAGTCAGCAGAGCCAAATATCAATTTCTTTTGAGAGTCAAAATTTTTAAACTTAAACTTCTTCTAAACACCACTTCTTCAAACTAGACTCGCCCCGGCCATGGTATTTTGTGGAAGAGCCACACTCAAGGGCCAAAGAGCAGCATATGGCTCGCGAGCCACAGTTTGCGAACCACAAGTCTAGAGGATCTAGCCAACAGTTCATTAACGTCTCATCGATTTTGCAAAACTGGAAGGCCTCGAGAGGGTACACTTACGCTGTGTGAGTCCCTGTATGCGGACATCAGAACTGACAGCGGTTAGAGAGGTCTGCGCCCCAAGGCCCGCAGGCTCTTTGCCCCGCTTCGCGCCCGCCCCCTCTCCCCGTCCCGGCCAAGCCAGAGGGAGAACCCAGACCCAAGGACTCCTCCCCACCCCCCCTCACCGCCGGCAGCTCCCGCTCCAGCAGAGAGAGCACCTGGAGGGGTATGCGAGTCGTTCACTGGGACCCAGACAGGAGCGAGGGGTTGGGGTGGGGTGCCCGGAGAACGCTGGGCTCACTCGGACAGCCTCCTCGCCCCGCCCGCCGCCCTGAAAGACGGCGCCAGGAAGGGCGGGGAAGGGAACCGGAGCAGCGGGGCGGAGGGGCCGAGGTCAGGCGGCGGGAGGAGGGAGGATGCCACCGGCGGCGGCTCCCGGCGGCTCGACGCCCGCTCCGCCCGGCTGAGCAGAACCTCGGAGGTTTCCTGACCCAACGCCTCCCGCCGGCGGCTAACGGTGCACCCGGGGCCGCCCCGCTGCTCCGCCCCGCGCCCCCGTGCGCCGCGGCCTCAGGTGAGCCAGCCCCGCGCCGCCCGGAGGCATCAGGTGTCCTGGGAACGGCGCCCGCCGCGCGGGGAGCAGCAGCCGTGATGTCCGAGCCGCCGGGGCCTTAAAGCGGGAGGGTCGGCCCCGGACTCGGCTCCATGGAGGAGACGCCGGCGGCAGGGGGGTACCCGCTGCAGGTGCTGGGCGCAGCGCCCGCCCGGCCACCCCGCCGAGGTCAGTGGGCGCGCGGGCCGGTCGCGCGGGGGTTCCACGGGTCGGGTGGGATCGGCGCGCCCCCCGCCGGGCTACTCCGGACCCGGGTGCAGGGGCTGGCGGCTCTGACCCGCGCCCAGAAGCGAGGGCCCGGCCCGCCGAGAGCCGGAGGCGGGATGCCGGGGGCCGGGAGCCACCTGAGGACGGCTGGCTGAAGAAGGCCCGGGGAGGGGGGTGGGGGGATGGCGGTCTGCGTGCGGCCGCTCAGAGATGGTCTGGCCGGTGCACAGCAGCCTCTTTTCACTGGAATATCCCTTTATTAGAGGCGTGGGGGCAGGACGGAAATGGGGGACGGGGCGCAAAGCCGGGGTCCCTGCGCCGGGCTCGGGTGCTCTAAGGGGCTCGGGGCGAACCGCCCGGCAGGAGGGCGCGGCTGTGGCGGCTCAGCTTTGGGATGATCGCGGAGGCCGTCACGCCCTTCCCGAAAGGAGAAAAGATAGAAAGATAAGAAAGAAAGATAAGAAAGAAAGATAAGAAAGAAAGATAAGAAAGAAAGATAAGAAAGAAAGAAAGAAAGAAAGAAAGAAAGAAAGAAAGAAAGAAAGAAAGAAAGAAAGAAAGAAAGAAAGAAAGAAAGAAAGAAAGAAAGAAAGAAAGAAAGAAAGAAAGAAAGAAAGAAAGAAAGAAAGAAGGGAGGGAGGGAGGGAGGGAGGGAGGGAGGGAGGGAGGGAGGGAGGGAGGGAGGGAGGGAGGGAGGGAGGGAGGAAGGAAGGAAGGAAGGAAGGAAGGAAGGAAGGAAGGAAGGAAGGAAGGAAGGAAGGAAGGAAGGAAGGAAGGAAGGAAGGAAAGAAGGAAGGAAGGAAAGAAGGAAGGAAATGGGAAAGAGACCAAAGTTTTGTGTCTGATCAGGTAGGTGACTAGGCGCTTCCAAAGAAATGAGGTTGCGTTACTTGGTCACCCGCTGTGAGGCTTTTGCTATTTGCACACATTCCCCAGTTCTAATTGTCTGCGGCTCGATCCAGTCTTTCATCGCCCTAAATAAATAGCCTCTGTGTGTGAGTTGGTAGATTCCAATAATACCTCGAGATAACCACCCTCGGGACCCCACCCCGCCTCTCGCTGGGCTCTCTGGGGTGGGGGTGAGGGGGATGCTGCTGGCCCTCCTTCAGCTGAGGCTAGGGGCCTGGACAGGTTGCAGTTTTCACAGCGCACGCTGCTCCGAAGGGCATCTGTGATGCGGCAAAGCTAGCAAAGCTAAGGATTGCAGCAAGTTTAGCGGTCAGTCCTTGTACATGTAATATCTGGTTCCCCGGACAGCTAGGTGCCATGTGCTGAATAAGTTAATTGGGGTTGGCTCATTTTCTCTTTAGTTCCTATGGGTTACTGTTACACAGCCTGTGGCTACTTTGTTTAAAGTTTAATTTTCCCTATATCAAAATAGAAAGGGCTTCATGTGACCGCAAATCTGTAATTCACCAGCATGGCTTATTGTTAAGAGCTTCATTGTGTGGGTGTTCTTATGAGTTTTGAGCAACATAAAATCATCTTTGTTTTAAGCCCTATAATAAGTAAAATATTTTAAAATGCTGATTAAAAATATCATACCTTTTTTGAAGAAAAAAAGTATTGTGTTCTTGAGTGAAAATCCTGAGGTATTGATAAACTTTTTTTCTCTTTTATGTCTTTACCTAAGAGCTATTGTACACATACTTTGAAAGGCATTTTAACATACACACAAGCCACACTTTAATAAGTCCTATTATAATTATTTAATTTTGAAGTGGTTTGTGTGCTACTATAAATATACTTTGTTATTGATTCAGCAATATCCTTATTATTTATATTTTTAAGAGTTTGAAAACATATCCCATGCCTAGTTTGTATAGCAAATATCTATTGTTTGGAGATGCTGGGTTTGCTACGAATGTCTGAATCAGAACCAAACATGGGATTCTAGGCTTGAAAAACAGTGTAGTGCCTAAACATTGTCACAATATTGTATTAATATGTATAGTTTGAATTCCCCTTTCATTTCTGAGTACAAGTTATTGGGAAAACATCAAATAGAGCCATCCTTTATGTGGAAAGACTCTCCGTGGTGGTTTGGGGTATTTTACTTTATTTATTTTATTTTAAACAGGTTTCCAGAATATCCTTATTAGTCTGAGGGAAAAGTCCAAGATAGGTCACTTTGGAAAAGCTGACTATAAAGACAGTAAAACCAGCCCTATCCTTTTCAAAGGAACAAACAAATAATAGCCATGAACTACTCTGAAAAGTAAAATATACTACAGAAATATCAAATCTCCAATAAAAAGCAAATGTAAGTGACATGGCTGACTGGGATTTGGTCTTAAATTGAGCTTCTGTGTTTCCCGTAGTAGGACAGTCAAGTCCCCTGAGGCTCACTGGGCCGCTAAGAACCTTGTGGGCAGTGTTAGGAAACTGCTGGGGCTGTGGGGAGAGTGAGGCTGCTTGCTTAGGGTGAGGCCCGATGCAAGGGCTTTGGTTGCATTTTTACTTGTAAGCCTCCATACAATCAAAAGATAGCGCTTCCTGTTCTCATTTTGCAGAAGGGAAAACTGAGGCTCAGAGAGGATCATGTCACAAAAGTGTCAACCAGGATTAAACACCAAACAGAACTCACTGGTTTGAAACTATTTTGATAATCTGATAACCCTTTAAGTCTCTCTCCAGAAGAAAAGTGGCCATATCCACATATATTAAAAAAAAATGTTTGCATATAAATTCAATGTCCATCTACCCTCTGAAGTCCTGACCTGAGCTTTCAGCTCACAATCCATGTTCTATATCTGTCACTGAAGGAAGCAGAAAGCCCATACATACCATATATGTGTAAGTACATATAACACTTTTCTAAATGTAGACCCTGAGTTTTGTAAGTTTAACTGAGTAAAAAAAAAAAAATCATTTCATAATGGAAACAAAAAGAAAAATGACATGTAACATTCTAATGCAGTCTGTAAATATTTAAAGTGCAGTTTACAACCATGGAGCTTATCTGAAACCAGATCTTTTATTGAGACTCCTTCAACTATCCTGCAATAGCAAAGAACATAAACTTGTGTCTTTGCTTACAGAATGGAAACAGTTTTGTTTGTTTGTTTTTTCCCCTCTAGAGATGGCAAATACCGAAGTTGTTACAAATAGTGGTAACTCTCAGCCCGAGGAAAATGGCTGCACGTTTAACCAGAACACATCTCCCTCTGAGGAGCTTCTATTGGAAGACCAGATGAGGCGAAAACTCAAATTTTTTTTCATGAATCCTTGTGAGAAATTCTGGGCTCGAGGCAGAAAACCATGGAAACTTGTCATACAAATTATAAAACTTGCAATGGTGACTATCCAGGTGAGCATATCAGGTGAGAGGTTTGTTAAAAGCTTCTTTTAATAACAATGAGGCCCATGGCTAGTGGTTTTTTGTTATTTTTAAATATATATATGTATATATATACATATATATATATATATATATATATATATAAAATATATTTTATCAATTTTTTGCAGAGAAGAAGAGAGGAATAGAGAGTTAGAAACATCAATGAGAGAGAATCATCGACAAGCTGCCTCTTGCACACCCCATAACTGGGGATGTGCCTGCAACCAAGGTACATGCCCTTGACCGGAATCGAACCTGGGACCTTTCGGTCTGCAGGTCAACGCTCTATCCACTGAGCCAAACCGGTCCCGGCATCAAACTCAGATTTATTCCCCCTAAGATTTATGATCTTAATTATTCCTTAATCTTTTAGGAAGCTTACCTAAGCTTCCTGTGTTTACTAGAGAGGTCAAGAGAAAAATTGACCAATGGTTTAAAATGTTAGGCTCGTTAGTAATAAACTTGTGAAAGGTATTTAGGTAAGCTTTTGAAAGGAGCTGAGGTTTCTCAATTGAGATGTTTCCCTTAATTTATATCTGAGCAATCAAGCAAATATTATATAAAGACAACTTTGCAATTAATCAATAAGAGTGACTTGGTAACAGATTCCTCTTCAGGGAAAAGAAGGTGGTATTTTTGTTAAGTTGGAGATGTTGTGTCTCGGTAACAAAAGATGTGTACAATGATAGGTACCTTACTAAAGCTTTTCCCTTCCCCACTTCCTGGCTCAGTCTCTGAATTACAGCGGTTCTGTCTCAGCCTCCCATCTGCCTCTAGGCCAGTAAGGACAAGGACAGTTGCCTTATCATTGTATCCTCAGTACCTAGCTCAGTACTGGCACATGGGAGGTCCTCATGTATTTGAATGAATTGATAAGAATGTGTTTGCAAATTCTCTGGAGGCTTTTTGGTCATCAACTTCAAAAGATGTGAAATCCCTGGAATATCAAACTGTCATCTTATTGGGATTTAAGTAGGACTTTGAAAAATAGTTTAAACCCTGAAGTCACTAATCTTAACTGGTTATTGGGAACAAATGCTTAAGATTGTTAGAAGAAAAGGGCTTCTACAATCATATGAAGTTGGTAGAATTCAAAGAGGCTCCTCAGTGATGGGGTTGAGTTAGGTGGAGAGAGATGACATGTGTAGGGTATAGGGCATACATTTACAAAGGGAGAAGGAAGGGGGAAAGCCTTGTCTATTCTATTTTTCCCCATCAGAACCTGGGTTATGCAGCTTAGATTTAATCTGTTAGATGGCTCCAATTTTAACTATACACTTTTGGGTAATGGAACTTGGAAAATTTATTTAGCTTCTCTGAGCCTGTATGTACTCATCTTGTAAAATAGGTACATTAAGAACTATACTGTGGGATTAGAGTGAGGAAAGTAGCTGGAAAAGAGTAATGGCACATGGGTGCCCTGTGTTCCTCCCTTTTCCATCTACAATGCATCCTGCTTCATTCTGGGATCCAAGTCAGAATGTATGTTCTAAACTACATGCACATACTTTAGAAAGTTTACTTAAAAAATAAGTAAGGCCTTTATGATGCGCGCGCGCGCGTGTGTGTGTGTGTGTGTGTGTGTGTGTGTGTGTGTGTGTATGTATGTGTGTGTGTGTGTATGTATGTGTGTGTGGTGTATGAAATAGAGATAGATTGAAGTGGTTTTGGAGGGAAGAGAAGGTAAAAGACACTTGGAGTAAAGTTACCATGACAGCTGTTCAGAAAACAACTTTTTTTCTTTTTTTTCATATGAACACCTGGTTTCATATGGGTCAATCCTGCATGAACAGTAAGGATATGTTATATAAATATTCTTTAATTTAGAGATAAGTTGAAAGAATATTTTTATATTGGGTCTTATTGTCACAGTTTTGGTAATTAGTTCTAGAAATACAGTTTGATTGTAGGACTTAGACTTATTTAAAATATTTCTTACATTATATGAAATACCTTCTTCAAGACCTTCTTGATGCCCTACAGAATTCAGTATCATACTCTTCTACTTGCTGTTCAGGCCCCTGCACCATTTCTTTTGCTAATATTTTTTCTCATTGTTCCTCTACTTGAATTATGTCCTTCTAAAGCGCTAACTTCTGGGCTACCTACTCAGCTCCTCAACTGTCCTTTGCCAAAGTTCTGCACACATTTCAGGTTTTCTATCATTCTTTCTTTAAGTGAACCTCCTGGTTTTGTAGCCAAAAAGTAACCTTGCTGCTCAGAACAGCTGAAGAACTGATGAAGGACTTACCTGAATTCCTGAAGCTTTTGATGGGAGCAATGCTATAAATGAGATCAGACATTGAAAAAAAAAAATGTTGAAAAGATGCAAAACCACTTCCTTTTACCTTACAACTAGAAACCTACCTTATCTTTAAGGACAGACTAATTCATAGCTACCAAAGATTAATTTTCATGGAACATATTCAGGATTAATTAGACACTGAATGTTGAATAGATAAATTAATCATTATATGAAGACCTTTATTTTGATGCTTTTTTACCCTCTAACTTTTCCTTTTTCCCCCCTTAAGCTGGTCTATTTTGGGCTAAGTAACCAGATGGTGGTAGCTTTCAAGGAAGATAACACGATAGCATTCAAACACCTCTTCCTAAAAGAATATGTGAACCAACCAGATGACACGTATGCAGTTTACACACAGAGTGATGTATACAGTCAGATCATCTTCGCAGTGAACCAGGTAAATCAAGCGTCACTTTTTTTTTTTTTAATGCATAGATACATTAATGGAATTTACTTGGTTTTCCCCTCTCCGGGGTGCATGTGCATTCTTTACTTGGGAGAAAGGACTAAAAAACAGACTGAAAAAGCAATGTATGTATTAGAAACTGACATTCCGATGGAGAAGGCTGAATATTTCTGTAATGTATAAATGACATGAATAAAATTATTTTAAGATGTTTTTAAAATATTGCCAACAAACTTTTATAAAACTGTAAATTGAGAAGAGTTTTTGGTCAGTAACACAGAGGCAGAAACTTGAAAGACTTAATTAAAAGAATCAGAACTCAGGCTTGTAAGAGAGCCTCAAAGGTTTAAAATTATTAACCACGACACTGGTTGTAAGTAGTCATTAAGTCCTCAGAGCTTATAGTTTCAGAAGCCCTTAATACTTAATTATAATATTCACTTTGCAGAGTGTATATAGCAACCAAGACCTGAAAGTTCTCATAAAATATTAGTAAGGCCTTTATGTCATGCATGACAATGATCTTATTGTGACACGGATTAACTATCAAAAAAGTAAGCTTGTTTTTCATCTAGATGAGTCAAATTCCTTTTCTGTGTTTGTAATCAATTTGTTTTTGCTATAAATAGTTCTTTCTTAAGACCCTAAATCTCTTATTTGGTAGTATCATTGACGGTGTTTTTTTTTTTTTTTTTTTTTTTTTTTTTTTAAATCCTCCCCTGAGAATATTTTTCCATTGATTTTTAGACAGAGAGAGAAAGACAGATTGATGTGAGAGAAACACATGAATTGGTTTCCTTTTGCATGAGCCCCCACCAGGGTCTTGTTAGGTACTTGTCCTTGACCAAAATTGAACCCTGGACCCTCAGGTCCACAGGCCTACACTCTACCCACTGAGCAAAACGGGCTAGGGCTAAAAGTGTTCTTGAAGTCAGTATTTCCAACCTGGCTTAGTTTCAAAACTATTACAACTCTCCTTCAAACAATTGTTATAATGAAATCATGGCTCTTCATTATCTAGAGACAATTTTTTCACACTGAAATGATAAATTGCTAAGATGAGATATGTAATTATGACACCAAAGTTTTCTGTTAGCATTCCATTACAAGAATTGGCCCAATATCTACAGTAATAGAAGCTAACTGTATAAGTTGTTAAACAGAATTATGTCCTACAATTTGTAAGGAAAAATATATAATACTGGAAATATTTAAACCAAATTGGTAGTTTTGTTTTGTGTGTTTTTTGGGCAGTGGGGATAGAGGCAAGAAGCACACAGTTCATTTAAATTCCTCCTAAAATGTATTTACCTTAATTAGTAGACTTAAGCTTAGTTTTAAAGGTATAGTACTACTTACCCTGGGGCCAGCCTGGCTCAATGTTTGAGCGTTGACCTATGAACCAGGAGGTCATGGTTCAATTCCCAGTCAGAGCACATGCCTGGATTGTGGGCTAACTCCTCAGTGTGGGGCGTGTAGAATAGATGATTCTCCCTCATGATTGATGTTTCTATCTCTCCCTCTTCCTTCCTCTCTGAAATCAATAAAAATATATTTATAAAAATACAGTACTATTTGGCATTCAGGCCATTCTATTTATCAGATTTCTACATTCTTTTTAGAACTGCGTGTAGATTCCTTACTCTAATATGCAAGTAGAAAATAATAATTGGAGTGGTTTATCTTGGGCAAATGATTACTTTCCATCTTCCAAGAAATTAGCATGTATTTTTAGCTAAAGATAAAAATATCTTGATCATAATTTCCATGAATAACTAAAGTTTTGTGGTTAATGAGGTCAGTCCTTCTACATGGCTCCAGATAACTGAAAAGGGACAGTATGGACTGGTGTTAAAGAGAGAGCTTTGTTGTAAGGAGATATCCTGATAATTGAGATGATAGTTCCTAAGGAGAACTGACAGATGGGATGGTGGCTTCTTGATCTTAAAGGTATTTCCACGACTAATTAGTTATTCTAAAGGGATTAGCCCCCAGATGTCCTCTAAATAGACCATCTCTAAGCTTATTTTGATCCAATGCTGGTTATAATATCATCACTTTTGCTTATTATATATGCTTATATATTTGAATGTCAGAACACTAGTTATTTTGTGGCTTTCCTCAACCACTTGTGGGTCATCTTTACTGGGTTCTTTTCTTTCATCTGCCCCTTACATTTGAGCAGTCTCCAGTGTAATGAGTGACATCCACCATGTCCTGTCCTCAACAGCCCTGCTCAGCTCCTGCAGACTCAAGCCTATGGCTTCTATTATGGAGTTACTCCATCTCCTATTTGTTCTTCCTCTTTTCCTGCTGCCTTCCATTTTTCTACCATTATCATCTTTTCCAAAGAACCCTGCCTTCTCATGATGTGCCTGAAATAGATTACTACCCTCAATATCTTTTACCTTTTTTCATGAAAAGGACTTTTTATCTCTTATGCTCCCTCTTCTCTCCTGTCCCTCTTATGAAACTACCAATTTGGCTCAGAGTGGCTTTAGAAAGGCTTAATTAATACACTATTTCCTTGAGTAGAAAATAAAAATCTCGAAATGTAATATCTCCAGCATTACACTATTTCCCCCTATATATAGGACACAATGCTATTTAATAGTATGCTACTTTCATTATCAAAGATTTCTAATTTTTCCAATCTCAATGCCCTAATCACACATATTATCCTAATGGTTTCTGTGCATAGATTAGCTCTAGAAAGTGAAGAGCCACTGAGGTTTATAATAATATTTTACCTCACCATTGGCTTGACACCTATACTGTTCTAAGCACTGGGGTTAGAGCAGTGGACTTGATAAATTCCTAGTTCTGTGGAATTTACATTCTAATGGAAAAGATGGCTTTTAAACAAGTTTAACCAAATTATTTGATTTTATATAGTGGTGAGTGCTATGAAGTAAAATAAAGTAGCATAAGGCATTAATAGTACAGGGCGGTCAGAAAAGGCCTCTCTGAGGACTGAAAGTGTGAGGAAGCACATTTCAGGCTGAAATGTTCATATATAATAAACAAAAGTGATATTATAACCAGCGTTGGATCAGAATGAGCCTAGAGATTTACTCTTACACACACCAGCAAAGGCTGTTTATTCCCTTAAAATTGTAGCATCAGTTATGTATCAGATATTGTTTTTGGTTCATAAATACAGTAGTGAACACATAGACAAAGTCAAGGAGGTCATATTCTAATAGGAAGGGATCAGCGGTAAATAGATACATAAATGAATCATCTGTCAGTTGGTTTTTCGTTTAAGAAAAAAACAAACAGAAGAAGCAGGCAAGGTGAAAGGGTGGAGATGGTCAGGGAAGGCTTCTCTGAGAAGGTGATACAGGTGAGCAGAGAGTAGACAAAAGAGTGGTGAGGCAGCCCTTGAAGATCTCAAGGAAGAAGCTTCCACGGAGAAGGAACAGAGTCTCAAACAGGTTCATGCTTAGGTGTCACTATTCTAAGAGTTTTATGTGTCTTAAATCACTTACTTTTTGTGATTGTAGTAAGGAAATATTTATAACAGTCCTATGATTTCTTTACAAAGACAAGTCTGTGGTGAGAATCTAGATTGGAAGCAGGGAAGTCAGGTTAACCAGATGGGACATGATGGAGGAGTGGTCTAGGTAATGAGAAGTGGTCAGGTTTGGGATATAATCGGAAAGTAATGCGTGATTGTCTAATGGATTAGAAATGAAGTAGGAGAGAAGAAGACTAAAGGATCATTTCCAAGACTTGCCTGGAAGGTGATTGACTTATGGAGTTGTTTGTGGAGAAGAAAAGTATTGTAGAAAGAGACAATTTTAGCTGTTTGTCCATCTGTGATTAAGCTTTCTCTTAGAAACTATAGGTAGATTGCTACCCACTTGTTTATGGAGTTTGGTGGAGAGGGCAGGGCTGGAGATATAAATGTGGATGTCATCAGCATATAGATGGTACAAAGCATGGGACTGGCTGAGATCACCCATGGAGAGAATATGGTTAAAGAGGTTGAAGACTGAATGCAAGGTACCTTGAGATGCAGAGGCTGGGAAGAGGGGATTCGGCTAAAGAGACTGAGAAGGAGCAGCCTGGGTTCCAGAAGACAAGTGAAGAGAGTATCCCACGAAGGGGAAAGCACTCACCTGCATCACGCACCGGAGAGAAGTTAAGTTAGACGAGCCCTGACAACCAGGCACGAAGCACTGACAACTGGGAACTAAGGGTCGGATTTGGTAACATGCTCCTCCACAAGGCCAGCTCAGAATCAATTCCATGGACCCATATCATCAATGATTCCCTTCAATGATCACAGCATGTTCACATGCATCCTTTAGTAGAATTATTTACCTGTGCCTATCCCATTAAATTATTAATTCCAAGAGACAGATACCATATCCTTATCTTTGTATCACTAAATGTGCCATGTTACATTGTTCAAAATAAGCTCTAAACCCCTTCGTTTTGTGTTTTTTATTCATAGAAATCCACTAAGTGGACACTTATTCCAAGATACCATGTGATTCTCATTTGTAAAAGTTACATTTTGTTTTATAGGATTCACCAGGATAGGGGAATATTGCGATGAAAATCACTATATTCTTATGAAGATAAATATTAAAATTCATTTTTTAAGTAAAATGTTTTGATGGTTAGCCTGGAACAACTTTATCCCCCTTCCAGTACTGCAGTAGTGGAGCAAAACTCTGACCATACAGGATGTAGGTCTAAGATAAAATAAATTTATATCCACATTCTACGTAAAAGCCAGTTTCTAGAACATAGTTCTTTAAAGGAGGAAAGGAGATTATGCCGTTTAAACCTTTAATTTTAAAGATAAGGAACCAGAAGCTCAGAAAAGTTTGTAATTTACCTGAGGTCATGGATTTGACACCTGAGCTCAGAACTCAAGTTCTTGAGTGCTCTTAGCCCCTCTGCTTGCTGCCTGGGGGCACAGTCCATGCCACGCACTCTGTGTGTCAGTGGGAGGGTCTCCACCCAGAGTAGAGGTGGGACCTGCCAGTTTCTAAGGCAGGAAGGGAGCAGGATCATGGCTTCACTTCTGCCCTGGCTGGCATCCCCACTTTCTGTTTCTCTTTTCGGTTGAAGTACTTGCAGCTACGCAACATCTCGATCGGGAACCATGCTTATGAGGATAAGGGCTCGGAGCAGTCTGGCATGGCAATCTGTCAGTACTTCTACAAGCAAGGAAACATCTGTCCTGGGAACGACACCTTTGACATTGATCCCCAAATTGAAACTGGTAATGCTCTTCTATAAGCTGGACCTTCCACTTTTGATTCCTTGATTTATATTTTAAATCAGTAATTTCATCTCTGAAAACATTGATTTGGTCTGTGCTAATAGGTCATCTGATAAACCATATAAAAGATGTGTGTCAGATACTGTCCCAAGGTTTATTATTATTATTATTACTACCATTTTATGGAAGACTACAGAATGGCACAGAGAGGTAAGTGATCAGCTCAAGATGGAGCTAATAAGAGGCAGAGCTGAAACCTGACCCAGGCTGTTGGGCCCTTACGCACTATATTCCACTGCCTCTCACGCTGGATCAGCTAATTAAATAGGCAGATACTTTCCTTACAAGAAATTATGCTGCACACTCTTGATGTGTGTCCAGCTCCCTCCCTTTACTAGCATCTCACTATTCAGTATCTATGGGGGTAAAGTGGGGGGTAGGATGGGGTAGGAATGAGAACCAGAATTTAGAAGAGCACAGCTTATTCTTAGGAGCAAAGTGTTATTTGCAAGTTGTGCCTGAAACATTAGCTCAGGACTAAATGTTAAAAAATAGGTATTAATCTTATTTATCAATGTCACCTCTGTCATTTAATAAAAAGAATAAGATATTTGAATGCTTTCATCAGTATTGACTGGGACTTTTTTTTTTTTTAAGAGGAATAGTAACATAGTACTGATTCATAAAAACCTTCTAAGATGCTGTTTTCCTTTCAAAATGCTTATTGAGGAAAAATAGTCAACACATAATATTAGACAAGTAGATCCTTTATGCTTAGAAATTCTTTTTTTCTTTGACACTTCAGGTGCTTCAAACCTGTTTAGATACAATGAAGAAAAGAAAAGGGGTCGGGGGAGGAAGGTCTCCAAATTTAGGTTTAAAGGCCAGGAGGGAAGATAGCATCTATACGAGACTAATGAGATCGAGTTCAGAACTTTTTCCACTCCCACCCACTGCAGAAATGTAGCACTTATGTCTTAAAAACAAATAGTCATTGTAACCAAGAGGCCAGTATAGATGTCTAGCCTTTAAAATCTTAATTCAGAAAAGTACTAGAATTTGAATATTTAGTTTTGAATATATATATAAATCTTCCCAAGATGTAGTTTTATTTATTTTGGCCACAATGTTATGTTTTGTTCCTGTCTGTGGCAGAATGTTTCTCCGTGGAGCCAGATGACATTTTTTACATTGGAACACCGGAGGAAAATAAACTCAACCTAACACTGGACTTTCACAGGTGAGGGGCAGGCGGGAGCGCTACTTCTGTTTGTGAGTGTGTTTTCACTGTGCTGAGGTCTCTTCTGTTTTCTAGACTCCTAACAGTGGAGCTGACCTTTAAACTGAAGGCCATCAATCTGCAGACTATTCGTCATCACGAGCTCCCTGACTGTTACGACTTCACTCTGACTGTAAGAATGGGCTGGGCCGATTTGGTTCCCATCTGGAGAAGCGTGTTTTATCTAGTTATATGTTCCATCTACTTGCATTAAGGCATGATCAAATATCTAGGATGTTTAGGCTTGAATGTGCCTAAGGGGGGGCATTGAAACAGCTAGCTCTATCTTGTTACAATAACTTGTTCGCTTGTTAATTAGCTTTCTTTTGTACTTCAGCCTAAGTCCTATGAGGGCAGGAACTTTGTCTTGTTCATTGTTGTGTCTTTAGTACCAAGGCAAGTGTCTGGCACAGGGTAGGTGTTCAAATACAAAAGGAGAAGACTTGGTAGTGTCTAGCAGTCCGTGGCTGTGTGCTTAAGTCCTTGGCAAGGGTTCTTGCTGAGTTTCCTTGCCATGAATGGATGTTTGTAACCTTTGGGTTATTGCTCACAGTGCCTTCCTTGTGCTGCCTCTGAATGTTCTGGTGAGTTTCTCCCCCTTCGGCCCACCCTATCACTTCCATGTTCTCCACACGCAGTTGTAAATGGAGCTATTAATGCTCTATAGAGAGCACAAGACACCTCTCATGTGAGTCTGGCACCTCACGAGGATCAGAGTCAGTAACCCAATGCTGGCTGGTCATATGCAGGAAAGCGTTTTATACAACTTGCCGTCGCCTGATACAAATTCTGTTACTTTGGCAGTAGTCTGTGTCAAAAGCTATTTTCTCAGTTCTCAAATAATTGGCTGTAAGAAATCAAGCTCTCACAGCGTGGAGAGACCTAGCATGAGAGTATCATGCTAAGTGAGATAAGTCAGTTAGAAAAAGATAAGTATCACATGATCTCACTCATCTGTAGAATCTAAATAACAAAATAAACGGATGTGCAGAGTGGATTGAGAGGCATGGATGCATGGAACAGAATGTGGAATCTCACGGGAAGGTGGGGGAGGGTTGGAGGGTGGGAGGTAATCAATCAAAGACCTTGTATGCACATGTGCATGGCCCATGGACACAGACAGTAGGGTGCTGAAAACCTGGGGTTGGGGGCAGGGGCGGCTGAAGGGGTCTAAATGGGGGAAAAAAGGAACATAAGTAATACTTTCAACGATAAAGAATTATTTAAAAAATCAAGTTCTCAGAGAATGAGGTTAAAAAATGTTCAGAACATAGTCTAATGTAGTGATCCTATATAATAAAAGGCTAATATGCAAATTGACTGAACAGTGGAATGACTGACCCTTTTACATGTGTTCACCACCAGGGGGCAGACGCTCAATGCAGGAGCTGCCCCCTGATGGTCAGTGTGCTCCCACAAGGGGAATGCTGCTCAGCCAGAAGCCAGGCTCACAGCTGGCAAGTGCAGCGGAGGAGTTCCTTGTTGGCACAAAAAGGATGTCTGACTGACAGCTTAGACCTGCTCCCCCTGGGCTCCCAGACTGCAAGAAGGCACAGGCCTGGCTGAGGAACCTCTGGCAGTGGTGGTTAGGGGTAATCAGGCTGGTTGGGGGGGCAGGGGTCAAGTTAGGGGCGATCAGGTAGATAGGCAGGCGAGCAGTTAGGTGTCAGTGGTCCCAGATGGTGAGAGGGATGTCCAAGAGGTCCCAGATTGGAGAAGGTGCAGGCTGGGCTAAGGGGACCCTCCCCTTCCCCTGTGCACAAATTTCGTGCACCAGCCTTTAGTAATAAATAATATAATAAAAATACAAGTATAAACTCTATGTTTTGTGTACTTACAGCTATAAGCCTACTTTTGCCCATCCCTGTATTTCCATTTCTCTAATATTGGCCTTTATCTTATTGTTACTTTCTAGATGTGTTATCACATACTTGATGTATTATTATCGTTTTTGCTTTAAATAGTCAATTATCTTTTGAAGCCAATTAAATAATAAGGAAACAGTATTTATATTTACCCACATAGTTACCAATTCCAGTGTGCTTCATTCCTTTGTGTAACTCCAGGCTTCTATCTGGCATCATTTTCCTTCTGCCTGAAGGGCCTCTTTTAACATTTCTTATAGTGCGGGCCTGCTGGTGATAAATTCTCTCAGCTTTTCTAGGTCTGAAAAAGTATTTGACCTTTATTTTTATTTATTTGTAACTTAAATTTTAAATGCATTTATTGATTGATGATTTTGAGAGAGAGAGAGAGAGAGAGGGAGAAAGAGAGAGAGAAAGAGAGAGAGACTTGTTGCCCCACTTATTTATGCATTCATTGGTTGATTCTTGTATGTGCCCTGACTGGGGCTTGAACCTGCAACCTTGGCATATTGGGATAATGCTCTAACCAACTAAGCTAACCAGCCAGCGCTTCACCCTCATTCTTAAAGGGAAGTTTCAGTGGATATAGAATTCTAGGTTGTTTTCCTGCCTCTGTACTTTAAAGATGCTGCTCTTCTAGCTGGCATTGTTTCTGATGAGAAATCTGCTGTCATCTTCATCTTTGTTCTTCTTTATGCGATCTGTTTTCCCTCCTTCCTCCCCCCACCCCCAGCTATTTCTAAATTTTTATCTTTATAACAGGTTTTAACAATTTGATAGTGACACTCCTTGGTGTTGTTTTCTTTATATTTCTTGTGTATGGTATTATTGAACATTTTGGTTCTGTGGGTTTATAATTTTCAGTATATTTGATATTTACTCAGCACTTTAGTTCTTCAAATATTTTTCTGTCTTTCCCCCCACTCACTATTCAGAGATTCTAATTACATGTGTATTTTGGCACTTGAAATATTCCCACAGCTTATTAATGCTCTCTTTTGTTTGTTTGTTTGTTTCATTTTTTAGTCTTTTTCCTTCTGCATTTCATTAATTTCTATTGCTATCTCTTCAAATCCACTAATACAGTGGTTAGCAAACTCATTAGTTAACAGAGCCAAATATCAATAGTACAATGATTGAAATTTCTTTTGAGAGCCAAATTTTTTAAACTTAAACTTCTTCTACTGCCACTTTTTCAAAATAGACTTAACCCAGGCCATGGTATTTTGTGGAAGAGCCATGCTCAAGGGACCAAAGAGCCTCATGTGGTTTGCAGTTTGCCAACCACAGCACTAATATTTTCCCCTGTACTATCTAATATGTTGTGAATTCCATCTAGTAATTTTTCTGTGTTTAAAGAATTCATATTCTTTTAAACCTTACATGAAATGTGATTGACATGAAACCAAAATGTATTTACTCAACAGATATTTAGTGAGCACCTACTGTTGCTAAGACCCTGAGGCTCTTTTGTGGGAAAAGATGGTTTCCCTTTTGCAAGGAGAACTCATTCAAGTAATACTGAGCATCTTCCTAGTGTGAAGTTGTGGGCTGGGTCCCTCAGCAGCCATGGAGATGGACAGACACTGACAATGGCCCGAGTTGCTTGTCAAGGAGGGAAGTTTACAATCCAACCTGAGGAGACCAAACTTTTTCCAATATGTTTATTTGACATCTTATATTTGAAGTGATTTCTGATTACCCCACATGAAGGAGGTGCAATAAAATTCATTTAAATGGCCCGGCTGGCATGAATCAGTGGTTGAGCGGCAATCTCTAAACCAGGAGGGCAAAGTTCAATTCCTGTTCAGGGTACATGTCCAGGTTGCTGGCTGGATACACAGGAGGGGATATGGAGGAGGCAGCCAATCAGGGATTCTCTCTCACTATTGATTTTTCTATCCCTCTCCATTTTCTCTGAAATCAATAAATATATATATATTTTTAAAAAATCATTTAAATGACAGATTTTTCAAAGAACTTGAGCGAGAAGGAACTTAAAAATAACAGCAACAAAAAGACTAATGGTCTCTACATGGGGAAAGTGGAGGGAGCCAGGGGGAAACAGAGAAGGGCTAGGGAAGGTGTTCTGGTGTGGCTTTGTCCAGTCTGTGCCTGTGTCCTGAATAGTAATCCTTGAGGCAAGAAGTGGCTGTTGATTCCCAGGGGCCACATTCTTGGCAGTACATATGGTTCTAGAATGACTAAGAAATCTAGATCCAGAAAGAAAATTTAAAAAGTTTCACCTCAAATGTTTCAAGACAGAAAAATGACCTCTTGTGTTAGGAAGAATTGTAACAGTGCTAAAAATCTATTCCTAGCTGAGGAACTACTGGAAAGTGGGGAAAAGCACAATTTTACGAGCTTTTAAAAAATTATTGAAATGTAGTTGGCACATTATATTAATTTCAGGTGTGAAAAACATAGTGACTCAACATTTATGTAGCCTAAGAGGTAATCACCACACTAAGCCTAGTAACAATCTGTCACCATACAAAGTTATTGCAATATTATTCACTATATTTCCTGTGCTGTACACTACATCTCCATGGCTTATTTATCTTATAACTGGAAGCTTTGTACCAACCTTTGCTCATATTAAGAGGGCATCTAGAGGTACTTAAAATGGGAGAATGGAGTTCTCTTGTTTTAGAAGTTTCCATGGTTGTGATACTGTGCTAGCAGCATAGGATTTTAGAGACGGAAAGTTCTCTGTGGAAGATATAGTTCAAACCTTACAGAGGAATAAAATGAACTTCCCAAGATTGAATAGAGTTAGCAATAGGGCAGGAATGAGACACTGGGTCTCCTCTCCCACTGAAAGAATTGTTTCCTAATTAATGCAAAGAGGTACCGTGGCTTCAAAAACTATAGGTATGTTTTTGATCCTTCTTCTTTTTCTTCGCAGATAACATTTGACAATAAAGCCCATAGCGGAAGGATTAAGATAAGTTTAGATAATGACATTTCCATCAGAGAATGTAAAGACTGGCATGTTTCTGGATCAGGTAACTGATACATTTTACTAGTTTTCAAAAATGGTCATTAAATTACTGGTCTCATAGATATGTGGAGCATCAAATGAAAGAACTGTCCTACTCCCGAGTGTCTAATTCTCTGTAAGTAGATCAATTCATTGTAGTTATCTGATGTTCTAGGTAATACATAAATAATTAATAATTGAAATGACTTTTCCTGCCTTCTCCATCCACCTTCATTGGTCCACTCCTTACTAAAAAATTACTTATAATCTCCCCCCCGCCCACCCCCCCCCCCAGTACAAAGAAGACTTGAGAAATTGTTTCCAGTAGGGAAGAACAGATTACAATCTGAGTGTCCTTTATTGTGTTTTACATCTATACTGTGGTGTGCAACACAGCAGTTAAAATAAGCGAGGCTAAAAATGAAAAGTAAAAAAAAAAAAAAAAAAGTGGCTGTCACTGTATTAATGTTCCACTGCATGAACAGGTAATCCTTTTCCTTCCAGTTCAGAGAAACACTCATTACATGATGATCTTTGATGGCTTTGTTATCCTGATGTGCCTGACTTCGTTAATCCTGTGCCTTCGATCTGTGATTAAGGGAATTCAGCTGCAACAGGTAGGGGTTGTTGCTTTCTAGAAATGTTACAGCTGTTTTGATCAACAGAGAAACTCACTGTGCCTTCCCTCTTTCCCCTAAAGGAATTTGTCAATTTTTTCCTCCTCCATTATAAGAAGGAGGTTTCTGTTTCTGAGCGAATGGAATTTGTCAATGGATGGTACATCATGATTATTAGTAGTGACTTATTGACAATCATTGGATCAATTCTGAAAATGGAAATCCAAGCCAAGGTAAACTTTTCCCCTATGTATGCCATTGTTAGTATCAGCTTTGTATAAGTCATCAGAATAGACATTTAACTTTGGGGGCTGTAGGGGGAATGGGAGAAGATTTTCAGTAAATCTTCATTTATACCCACCTCAACTATTCTTAACCTCAATGAGCTCTTAATGGCACCCAGCAACGTTTCCACATTTTTATAGACCATTCACTACTCCCATCGTATAAATGATAATTTCATGTTTTCTTCTCTTCCAAAACCTCTAGATCCCTGCCTTACCCCCAGTTTCAGCTGGTGATCTAATTTCCTATTTCATAAGAACAATAGGAAAAAAGTAAAAATCCCACAAACTCCTACTTCATTTATCTACCGGCCAGCATCAGTGCCCACATGCCCTGCTTTTTCTGTTACGAAGCATTTATTATTTAGGCTATTATCTAAGTCCTACTCCTCCATATGCCTACCACATGCTGCCCCACTTGTTTACTTATGGGCACACCTCTCACCATGTTTCTCCCTTTCCTTGTACATCATCCATTTCCCAGTCTCTATGCTGTCATTCTCATCAGCATATTTTTCCCTCCTTTCTAAAAAGACAAACTATCAACCAGTTACTTCTTCATTTTCTGCTTCTCTTCATATGGCAAAAGACCTCAACAGAGTAGTTCATCTTGTTTCTGATTCTACTGCTCCCATTCTTCTGATATCTGTTCCAAGCGGACTGCCTGCCACTCCACAGAAAGTGTTCTTCCCAAGGACCTCCCATGTTGATAAGTCCAATAATCAATTATTTCAAGAAATTTACCCTTCATCTTTTAACACTGTCAACACTCCCTCTTTGTTGATGTATTTTTTTTTTCTTCTGGGTATCATTTTCCTGGTGTTCCTCCTAGATCTTGGGCTGGTCTTCTGACTTTCCTTTGCCAGTTTCCTCTCATCTCTCCAACCTATTAAAGTGACTACTTTAAAGCATAGCACTGGGACATTTTTTATTTTCTGCCACTGTCTTAATGACCTCATTCTGTTCTATGCCAGTGATTTCCACATTTGTGTTTCCAGCTTGGAATTCTTCCCTCAACTCGTCTCACATTTCCAACTGTCTATTCCACATCTTCACTCGAGTGTCTATTTGGCCTCTCAAATGTAACATATCTAAAACAGAATTCCTAAGGTTCCCCCACCTCCACGGTCAAAACTTGTTTCTCCTTTCTAAGCTCAGTTAAATACCAACTATTTTCAGTTGCTCAAGATAAGATCCATCCTCAACTTTTCCCTTTCACTAATCCCCTTTCACTCTCACATAATCCAAGAGGAAAACCTATTGATCTACCTTCAAAAATTACCTCATCGTCTCCACCACTAAGTCACCATCAGCTCTCACTCATATTATTGCAACAGCCTTTTCACTCCTCTAACAATCTGCGCTCAATCTTCGCAGCCCATAGTCTTTCATATCACTTCTGTTCCGAGATCTCAAGTCCCCCTCTCCAGAATAAATATAAAGTTGTAAAATTACCCACGAGACCCTAACCACCTGCCTCCTCACCTCTGACTTCATGCTATCCCCATCGCTCACTCCAGCCAAACTCACCATCTTGCCAGGTGCCCTCCTGCTTCGGGGCCGTGACACCTACTGGTTCCTGTGCCTGGAAAGCTCTCCCCCTTGATTTTGTTGGTTGGCTCCTCACTCCCTTCAGGCCTTTGCTCAAGTGCTGCCTTTTCAGTGAAACCTTCCCTGGTCACCCTTCTTAAAATGCAACCGCCTGCGCATTTCTTATCCTGAATTCTCTCCTTTGCACATCAGCTAATGTATCAGGTATTCTTGAATTTATTGCTGTTCTCTCTCTCCCCTCATGAGAAGGTAGGCTTCGTGAATGGAGGAAATTTTACCTGTTCACTGCTCTGTCCTTAGCCCCTGGAACAGTGACCAGCTCATAGCTGCCCAAGAGGCAGTTCTTGCTCATGTGAATTTCTGATTACTTTCCCCCACTGTGTTTTAGAGTCTATCAAGTTATGATGTCTGCAGCATACTTCTCGGGACCTCCACCTTGCTTGTGTGGCTGGGCGTCATCCGGTACCTCAGTTTCTTCCACAAGTACAATGTAAGACGTTTCAGGGCTCTCAGTGCGGCCGGTCTTTCCCCCTTTCACTGTTATTGCGCTGCTTTGGCTGGAGGACAAAAAGATTCTAACGACCTCTCTTACTTTCTCAGCTTCTTATCCTGACCCTTCAGGCAGCGCTGCCCAGTGTCATGAGGTTCTGCTGCTGTGCAGCTGTGATTTATTTTGGCTATTGCTTCTGTGGATGGATTGTGCTGGGACCTTACCATGAAAAGGTACCGATCCACAACCTGTCACCTTGGGACCATGAAGTTCTTAGCATAGAGCCAGTGGCTTGTTTTCTTCTTTCAAATGCACTCTGTTTATTTTGTGACTCAGTCTTCATATGTTGAAGGTAATATATCTATTGCCATGTGTATAAACTAGTATGAGCTGACCAACTTGAGAGAATTGGTTCACTCAACATCCTCAATTTCTTTAGTGGAATATGCCAAATAGTGAAGTTCTTTTTACCACCAGCGAAGTAAAGTTTCATCAGTTTGATTCATCAGTATATATTAGAGTAGGCTATTTAGGTAAAGTGTCTCAAAATGGGATTTTATTTAAAAAGCAGTATAGGGAGAAACTTGTAGGAATATTTGTTACCGGAGTTATGGTCCTAACTATATTGCTGTTATCTTAAGTGGCATGAACTTTAAAATGAGATGTCTGACCATGTATGGTTGGGGTCTGGGTTTCTCAGAAGTGTTTCAAAGATCTCTTTCCATGAAAGTAAAGGGGAGGATAAGGCTTGTCTCACAAAAGCCCTGAGATAAGCTCTTTCTGTATCTAGTTCAGCCTGCTCCCATTAACAGAGCAGCAAGAAGCAGATGCTTGTCCCAGGAAACGTAGTAGGCCTGTATATGTTGTGTGTATCGCCAAGCAAATGCATGTAGTTACTCCAGGTGATTGGTTTTAAAGGGTAACTTGGCATATCTGGCCACATCCTATATAATAAAAGCCTAATAAATAAATTGACCAAATGGCGGAATGACCAGCAAAACATCCAGTCACTATGATGTGCACTGACCACCAGGGACAGATGCTCAATGCAGACGCTCAGTGTGGTCAGTGTGCTCCCACATGGGGAGCGCCACTCAGCCAGAAGCTGGGCTCACGATGGCAGTGCAGTGTCGGTGGTGGGAGCCTCTTCTGCCTCTGCAGCAGCGGCAGCACTAAGCAGCAGCAAGCTGAGCAGTAAGGAGTAGCAAACAGGCAGATGGTAAGTGGCGAGGGGACCCAGGCTATGAGAGGGCACAGGCTTGGCTGAGCCCTCTTGCAGTCCAGGATTCATCAGGGAATGTCTGACTGACAGCTTAGGCCCACTCCCCCATGGACTTAAGCTGTCAGTTGAACATCCTTAGTGCCTGCCACTGCCACTGTACTCGCCAGCCATGAGCCCAGCTTCTGGCTGAGCGGCACTCCCCCTATGAGAGCACACTGACCACCAGGGGGCAGGTCCTGCATTGAGCATCTGCCCATGGTAGTCAGTGCACGTCATAGTGACCAGTCATTCCACCATTTTGTCAATTTGCATATTAGCCTTTTATATATCCTATATATCCTATATAATAAAAGGCTAAGTTGACTAGTGCATGCATGATACATATAAAGCCTCACTGGTGCCAGTCACGTAGGTGTGTTTCTAGCTGTCATTGTCGATCATGAATTTGGTTGACACTTCTATTATAGATAAAGGCAAATAGTGATATTAAAATATTTCTTTTAATTAATGTCCTTTCAATGTGCATGAATCAGTGTACTGGGCCACTAGTTTTTAATATGATGTCATGAATGAAGTCTCCCAGGGGAAGGAGCATAGAATAAAGTGCATTTTTCTGTGTTTTTTTTTTTTTTTCTTTCAGTTCCGTTCTCTGAACTTGGTCTCCGAGTGCCTTTTTTCTCTGATAAATGGAGATGATATGTTTGCGACGTTTGCAGGAATGCATCAAAAAAGTTACTTGGTCTGGCTATTTAGCAGAATTTACCTCTACACGTTCATCAGCCTCTTTGTCTATATGATTCTAAGTCTTTTCATCGCACTGATCACTGATACATATGAAACAATCAAGGTAGGCTCATCAGTAGCGATAAGTGGCAGCATTTTCCTAGAATTTGTGGAGTGACAATAAAATATAGTACCTATGGGTAGAGAAGAAGGACTTCAGTTTTAGATACTGAGAAAAAGAAATGAAGGAGAGACAGAAGTATAGGATGTTGGAAGTTTTGTCTTCACATAATTGTGCTTTTTTTTTTTGTACAAGCTTATTAAAATTATAAGGATTAGTAAGTATTACGTGAGTACAGCAGATGGCATTTCAGAAAGCTGGAATTTGGAGTAGCAAACTTTTTCTTTTACATTAATCTAGTTGAAAATTTTAATTTCTATATAAATTAAATCTCTCATTTTGAGAAGACATATTAGTTGCAATTTCCTAGGTAACTTGTTGAATAGACCTATGTTCATAAGGAACAACATGGAAGAGATCTGGAAGTGAATAGAAAGTTGAAAAAAGAAAAAAGACATGGAAATAAATGGAAGTTTAAAGTTTAAGGTAAAATACAAAGTAATTAAAAAAAGAAAAGAGAGAGAAGAAATAATCTATATATAAAAGCCTAAGTGACTATTACAATCAGAATGACTGTAACGAACATTTGACTGGTTGCTATAATGCACACCGACACACTGATCACTAGGGGGCGTAGCTATGGCAGCAGCAGGCACAGTTGGGCCAGGATGAGCGACAGTGGAGCTGCATGCAGCCCTGGCTTGGGCTCCTCCCTGTGCTTTGGCACTTGCTACATCCCCGAGGCATCCCAGATTGCAAGAGGGTGCAGGCCAGGCTGTGGGACTCCACTTGTGCACAAATCTGTTCACCCGGCCTCTAGTGTATTAATAATATAGAAAAAAAAAAAAAGGTACCGATAGCATTAATCTCACATCACTTGGGTCATTTTTTCCCCAGTTCATTCTGTGGTAGGCAGCTAGACAGTTTGGGGAAAGAGGACATTGGACAGGAATACTGTCATTTATCTAGCAAAAGACAATTGTAGGGTGGGACCTTGGCCCCAGGGTGGCCTTTCTTTTCTCTTCCTAGCATGCAGTTTGGACCCCCTGACCTTTCCTCCCTAGAAATAAACACCTAGGTTTCAGTTGTATTTCAGCTCCAGGCTCAGAAAAGCAACAAAACTAGCCACAGCTGACCTCAGGACCAGCTTCCCTGGTGCTGCTGGGGTGGGGAACTTTTAAAATTCAGTTTTATAAAGAAGAATCGACCTCTTCATTTAGAGTGTGCTGTCACTGAACTCATTACTCCTTGGCATGGTCCCTTCCCCAGTTGGAAACTTGATTTAAAAAGGTGTTATGACTTGTATTATCATTCACAAAGGACATTTTAAAAAAATCTATTTAAGCCCTTTGAAATATAGAAAAGCAGAATAAACATCTATATAGACTTACATTTTGAAAACCTTGTATTATTAGGCACACTACTGGCATAGGCACTTGCACTTGGGGATTTTTCTTCCTGGGTGTGAGAGTCGGAATGATGTGTGATGGACCAGGGATAAAGAGAGGGCTTCTGGGAGTGGATGCATTATGAGTTGATGATTATGAAAACTTTGCTCATGAAGCCAGGGCCATGAGTTCATGCTCATTGAATCAGATTTTAGGAACTGACTGTCCTCACTGCTTGCTTGGCAGATTTGTGCGTAGAGTCACTAAGGTGACTGAGAAAGAATGTAGTTGTTCCTGCCCAAACCCCTCCCCATAATGCTCTAAAAACCTCCCACTCTGCATGCAGAGAACTATCTGTTATTTAAAGGTGACATCCACTATCTCTAAGGGTAACATGACTTGACAACTTTCCATAACACAACTTGGGATTCACAGTTTAGATGTTAACTTCTTTTCGTGGGCCCAGCCCACTTCCAAATGGGAACACTAAGTTATTTCTGATCCTTTCTGGTCAGGGCACCTTCTAGAGTCTTAGATAAGGTGACCAGACATCCCGCTTTTGGCGGGGACAGTCCAGATTTTTAACAATTTGTCCCACGACCCGTGGCAGGACTTTTTTAAAATGCCGGGGGACGCGGGACAAATTGTTAAAAATCGGGACTGTCCCCGCCAAAAGCGGGACATCTGGTCACCTTAGTAGACCCCCAAACTGGTATAAATATGAGGCCCTTAAACAAGCCTTTCTGTCCAGAAGAGAGACTCCCAAAGGGTGAGCAGACTGGAAAGGTCCCTCACAGCACTCAGATCTTTGTCCAGACATCTGGACCAGCTTAGGAGCATTCAGGGCTGGGCAGAGGAAGGATAGGTATGCCCCCACCCTCCTAGCTATTTAACAATAGTGTTAAATCAGCATCAGCTGGGCCATTTGTGGCCTGAACTAGGTTTAGCCAAGGTGCCTGGTACACACTGGCCTCCAAGTCATGGGCTGTAGGGTGAGGTTCTCAGACTGGGAGCAGGACTGGCTGGATGCTTCCTGGACAGAGGGCTCAGACGGACCCAGATTCAACATGCTTGTTTGGGGTTGAACCAGACCCACAAAAGGGAGGCCAGGAGGGCACTGCTGAATCCCGGACCCAGTTTACTTTAGTCAAGTGTACGAGTGGCTCTAGCGACTACATCTCCCTGAAAATACTTGGAAGTGATGACACTAGCCCTCTAGAAAGATCTCCTCCCTTGCCAAATGAGCTATTTTAGACTAGGACTAAAAAGCTGTTTCAAGGGGTTCATTAATGAGAGCTATTCTTTTTATTCTCCTGCACAGCATTACCAGCAGGATGGCTTCCCAGAGACCAGCCTTCGGACATTTATATCAGAGTGCAAAGATCTACCCAACTCGGGAAAGTACAGATTAGATGACGAACCTCCAGGATCTATATTCTGCTGTTGTACCAAGTAGCTCTCAGGTTTATCTGTGCTCTAGAGGAAAATATGACGTGTAGCCGAGTTGGGAACTGTATGGATATTTTAAGATCTGGTAGAGTATGTTTGAAGACTATTATTTTGAGCAAATTGACAGCTGTAATTCATTAAGAACTCATTAGGTTTATAATTTTTAAAGCAATAATTATCGTCTTTTTAGCTTTATGTTGAGTTTATTTAAAAAACAACAACACTACCTTTGATTAGTAAAGCTTTGGCTTCTTAGTCATTCTTTATTTTGCCATTGCTTTAGAAGGTGTTTTCTATGCCACTTTTTGTTAATCCTCATCTGAGGGTATTTTTTCCATTGATTTTTAGACAGAGTGGAAAGGAGAGGAGAGACAGAGAGAGAAACACCCCATCTCCCTGATGGACTGGGGATTGAGTCTGCAACTGAGGAAGTATGTGCCCTTGACCAGAATTGAACCTGGGACCTTTCAGTCCACTGGTTGATTGATGCTCTATCCCCTGAGCCAAACTGGCCAGGGCTCCATACCACTCTTGACCTCTTGCTTACAGTGATTCCGACTGTGCTGATTGTGTCATCAATGGAAAACTTTGCCTGGACTGGTCCCGCTTGTGATTGAGAGAGGATGTTGCTGTATATCCAGTAAACATTGCTTTGTAAGACCAGGCCAGAATAGGAAACAACCATCATTCACGAACAATCCGGTACTTGTGAAGGACAACTGTTCTATGCTTCTTATAGTTCTCGAGAGGATCTGGTGTTTCAGTATTCATGTATAAGTTTTCTCCTTCAGTGTTAAAGTAAAAAGTTGAAAGAATATCTTATACATTTATGAAAATTGAAAGCACATTCAAATGCATGTAATATTCCCTGAGGATTATTTTATCAGTATTTGCGTGGCCTTGCGAACACTAATGTACTGTGTGCCCTTCACAGGCACCTCCGGCCTCGGAAAGAAGCCGCATTTTAGGGTTGGGAACTGTTGTCTGTGGGGAGAGATTCCATAACTCACATTTAAAATATTTTATAAACAGCTTTCCTCAAAATTTTAAAAATAAGTGGGAAATGTGTGCCTTTAAAAGACACAAAACCAAAGTCCCTATCCTTACAAAATGCTGATTGGAAGTTTCAGGGATTTTCAGAACATGAATCTTTGTTTTGTGTACCGTTTGTTCAAATAGAAATGAACTCAATGATGTGCAATAAAGGTTTGCTCAAAGCAAACTCTTTTTTTTTGGTTTTGAAGGAAACTAATTTGTCAATTTCTTATTTTGATTTAATGGCTAAATGAAGATAGTCTTGAGACACTACAATCTTTATTTAATCATGACTGTAACAATGACTCTAGGTGTTGAAATGTGAGATATTACAACAAATATAAGCTATGTTTGTAGTGCCTTTGGTTTTTTAGAAATAAAAAATACCTAAACCTCTAGGTGAGTTTTTTCCTTATTTGTAATATTTGTATTATGATCATTTCCAAAATTTACTAGAATGCAATGTGAATTTTAAGTTGTGTTTATTATTTGATAAATATGGGTTTTTTTTTACTTCTTATAAGATTTTTTGGACTAGCAATAATACTTCGAAGGGAACATAAAACCACTGATCAGTGCTGGGCCTGGGGTTTTGGTTGGCCCTGAAGTCATGTTCCTGCTGTGGAATTAATCACGAGTCTCCTGATTCTCAAGCTTTCCTACTGTGGCAGAGGGAGTCCCTGATGAATTTCAGGGCCTACTTTTTAGGAAGGATGACCATGAGAGAGTATCCCCACTATTTCCTGAAAGAAACAGACTGACGTTTTTGGAACTGTCCTCAAACCAGTACAATGGCTTGCTCTGGGCAGGCCAGCAGTTTCCATGGTTTCCTTTTACGTGTATGTGCCTTAAAGAATGTCAAGGTTCTTGTAAGAAGGAATGGAGAATAGAAGTCTCCCTTTCTTCTCCCAGGTTTCCAGATGGGGCAGCAAGAAGGAGATGGGGGCTATTAGACTTTTGTTGGTGAAGTCCAATTGTCTAGAGGTCAGGCTCTCTGCTCTGCACCCCTGACATAATGATTCTCAAGCTTGTAGACATAGAATCACATTAAAATTGTGGATGTGCAGGTAATTTCAGCAAAGATTTCTTACTTTTCAAGTCCAAGGGTGAGACCAGGACTCTTCATTTTTATCAGGCATGCAAGATAATTCTGATGCAAATGGTTCACTGTGGCTGCATGGATCAGAGCTGGACCAGAAACAGCTACATCCCTCTACTGGGGCTACAAATAAGGAACTATCTATAAGGTTCAGGATTCAGACTGGCCTTCTGTTTTTTGACCACATTAGTCAAAAGAGAAATCCCAAGGAAAAGAGTTTATAGACATCAAAATAGTTATCATAGAATTGTTGCCCGTTACTATTGTTTTTAGAAAAATTTTGATTTTGTTAATGCACATTTTCTTTAAACAATTTAGATGCCATTTTCTTCTATTTGTTTTATAAGGCTTTAAAAATATAATAAATATTAAATTTTAATCTTTTTGTCCCAACATACAATTTTCAGATTAAATTAGTACATATAAATAAAGAGGATTAGGGAAAAAAGATAAAATTCTCACTAATTGATAATATAGTGGTCTACATAGAAAACTAATAGAATTCACAAATTTTCAAAATTAATTAAAATATTCAGTAAAGTTGTTGTATGTAAGATCAATTTAACTTCTTAAGCTTTTAGAAAGATAAATTATTCACAATAGAAAAAAAAATTAGAAATTATCCAGCAATTATTCTAAGGTAAAATGTGCAAGACCTTCTCAGAGAAACTTTCAAAAACTCCATTACAATACATAAAATATCTGAATAATTGCAGAAGTAATGTATTCATGAATGCAGGCAACTTATCACAGTAAAAATTCAATTCCCTTCAAATTAATCTATAAATTCAATACAATAGCAATTAAAAACTCTAGGTGATTTTTGAACCTTAAGAATTGAGTTCTAAGACTCACATGATAAGATCTATATAAGGAAAACTACAAAATTTTTTTGAAAGAAATGAAAGAACAAAATTAGTTGGAGAAATATTCCATGTTCATGGATAAGAAAACTCAATATTGTCAAAATTTCAGTTTTTTTCAAATTTGATTTATAGATTCAAAACAATCCCAATCACAATCCCAGTGATAAATTTTGTGGATATTGACAAACTGATTCTAAAGTTTCCATGGAGAGGCAAAAGACCCCAAATAGCCAACACAATATTGAAGGAGAAAAACAAAGTTGGAAAACACTACCCAACATCAAGGCTTCCTATAAAACTATAGTCATCCAGAAAGTGGTGTTGGTGAAAGATAGCAAAATAGATAAATGGAACAGAATAGAGGACTCAGAAATAGATTCACTCAAATATAGTCAATTGATCTTTGACAAAGGACAAAGATAGTCTTTTCAACAAATGGTGCTGGAGCAACTGGATATTCACATGCACAAAAATAAGTGTAGATATAAAGCTTACAAACATCACAAAAACTAACTCAAAATGGATCATCAATGTCCATGTAAAATGAAAAACTATAAACTAAAATGTTCTTGTTTGGTGATGACTTTTATTTGTTTTATTTTTATTTTTTTGTTAATCATCGCCTGAGTGTATCTTTCCATTTATTTTTAGAGAGAGTGGAAGAAAGAGAGAGAAACAGAGAGAAACATTGATGTGAGAGAGACATATAGATTAGTTGCCTCCCACATGCACCCAGACCAGGGTCAGGGATTGAGCTGATAACCGAGGTGTGTGCCCTTGACTGGAATTGAACCCAGGACCCTTTAATCTGTGCCAATGCTCTATCCATTCAGCCAATCTGGCTAGGGCTGATGATGATATTTTTAGATACAACAGCAAGCACAATCTGGGGAAAGGGTCGTGGGGGGGGGAGGAATACGACTTCAATAAATTAAGATATTATGCAAAAGACACCATCAAGAGAATGAGAAGACAAGCCACAGACTGGACAAACTATTTGCAAAGACATATCTGAGATACTATTATACAAAATATTATAGAGCTAAAGGGATGGTATTCTCTAGAAACTTCTAGGCCAGTGGTCCTCAATCTTTTGTTTACATATTTTCTGTGACTGCCTTCACACTACAAAAGCAGAATTGGGTAGTTGCACCAGAGACAGTACATCCCCAATGCCTAAAATATTAGCTGCCTGGCCCTTTAAAGAAAGGTTTGTTAACCCCTGATTCATAAGATAAATTGCTGAAAATTGATTTAGTTACATAGAAAACTTGAGCTGCCTTCCTACCTCTCGCCACATGCAAATTTGAGGTACAACAGACTTTGATGAGAAGGGTAAAACTGAAATAATGTAAAAAAAATGCAGAAAAAGATTTGTGACTTAGAGGTAGAGTAACCCTTCTTAAGAGTGCAAAAACATAAGTTATATGGATTAATATTCTTAATTTTGGTTTCATAATATCAATTAAGAACTTCCATCTCAGGAAGAACACCATGAACAAAGTTGAGACAGGTGAATTCTGGAAGGAGATACAGTATTTATAATGTCTACAACTGGCAAGGGATTGATATCTACAATATACAAAGACTGCTTGCACATCAATAAAAACTGGAAAGGATGTGAACAGTAAGTAAATAAAAGGCAGCAGTGTTCTCCTATTTTACTCATACTTTCTCCACATAAACTTCACAGTGAATATTATTCTTACCAGCCTATCCCAGAAAATGAATGCATTTTTACTATTAGCCTGTCTTACATTTCCTAGACTTAAAAAAAATTCTGATTTAACATTGTAAATTAATTGAACTTTCATATGAAGGCAACCTGCTAGAGAAATTTCAGGTCCATAAATTCAAAATTCCTTGTTATAGTACACTGTCAAGCAAAACATTCTTGTGGTCTATGGTTACTGGCCATTACAGATTTGAGTCTGGTGCATAACTTTTTGTACTTTGCAGTACAGAACAGAGCTCAGGTATTTGAAAGAAACAAAATCATAGCGCAAAACAATGACCATACTGCCAGTGAGAAATGGGAGCGAGGATGTACCATCAACACTGAGTTTTGAAAGTGAAAAACATCATGCCTATTGTAATTTAACTCACTCTGATAGAATGGTTAGATTAGGTACCCAGAAACAATAATTCATGGCTTTTAGGTTGTGTAATACAGCCATCTGCCTCAAGTATTTTCCATTTTTAATCTCCTTCCCTCTTCTTCATCCTCAAATCCCTCAATCTCAAGTTCAATTTTGCAACTTAAAGTGTGGAGCATGGACCAGCAGTGTCAATAACTTCTAGTTAGAAATACAAAACTTCAAGTCCTCTTCCAGACCTACCAAATCAGAGTTGGCTTCAATGATATGTTTCATTTGCACATTAAAATAACTCAATACTGGGAGCTCCCCTTTGCAACTATTTTCCCTCCACAGGGTTCGATAAGAAGTTGCTTTCTTTTACCTGGGGATAACATATGCATTTGGCTATTTATGTGCACGCATCTTGGCTCCACTTTGTGCAGCTATTTAGAGATTGTTACAGATGTGCAATTGATTACAGAAACTTCTCCAGATCAGGAAAGCTGCTGAAGGGCGGCAGCTGTTAATCATGTCTTTTGTCAGTGTAGCAGTGTGGTGAGAATCAGCGTTTTGGAGACTCAACCACGGGCATAGAAATCTTGGGCATACTACACACTCTGTTGGTAACCTTGGAGAAGTAACTTCAACCTCTCTAAAACCACTTCCTCGTTTCAAAAGAGAGATAACAGTACAGAGTGCTGAGCATTCAATGAGGTAAATATGTAAATCAATCTCCCTACCTAGTAAGCACTCAAATACTTGGATCTCTGAAGCAGAACCTTTGCACATGGTAAACGCTCTTAGTAAATGCAACATTAACTATTTGCTTTCTTTTTAACTAGTTGTTGATACGTTACTGTGTAGAATTGGCAGGGCTTATAATGAGAAGTGTGCCCATACAAAAAACGTTATCCCACTTGACCATGCCTTTCTAAAGGGATGATTGTCCCTCGTGGTGCCCTGGCATTTTGAGGTTAATGGGATTGTCCCTTCATGATGGCTTTTCTTCTCCAACACTCTCCCGTCAAACCACCATCCGCCTCCGTCACAGGAATCCCCACCTTCCCCACAAGAACAGCGCTGTGACATTTCCGCTCCGTTTCTTCAAAAAAGGAACCTAACCTCACCGCTTTTGCGCCCACCTTCGAGGACTGTGACTAATAAACGGGATCCCTCAAGCCTGTGTGTACCCAGGAGGCACCTCTGATGAAAGGGGCTCTGAAATAAGGCATCTTTGCCTAGTTGCCTCTTGGAAGTAACTTTCAAAAGAGAATCAGTTGTGTAGGCTCTAATGTACCTTAGTCTCTCCATCTGCTTCCATCTGGAGAATACACACACACACACACACACACACACACACACACACACACACACACACACACACCTGGCAGAGTGTCTTTGCCCTGGCTGTCCCCTCACACAGACCTTTAAATCATTTGCTGACCCAAACAGCCTAGGACTTGGGACTTGCAGTCGCTGCCGCTACCACATGTCATGACGAGCAGGCATAGAGGGCGCCCTCGGAAGGAGCCTGCTCGCCGGGTCCAAACCGCCAAGTCCTCACCACCCTCAGCGGAACAGGGCGTGTGGTCAGATGCCCTCGACCCACCTCTCTAAGATTCATGCCGGGTGTCCCACAGGCACCTTCCTTTCGTGCAGCGGGAGGAAGGCTCCGCGGTGGCCGCAGCTGGACTGGGCGGTGCGGGTCTCGCGGTCCCTGTGTGCCCGCAGGGGCCCCGCGCAACCCAAAGGCGGTTCGTGTTCCGCTCCCCTGCGCTCGGGCAGCACTTTTAACATCCCTGAAACTGGGCCATTGTCACAGGGTTTTGTGACCGTGCACGTCAGAAAAAACAAACAAAATAAAACACACACACACACACACACACACACACACACACACACACACCGCTGCAACGAATGAACTTGTCAGCGGACGTGAGGGTCCCACAGGGACGGGCCAGGCGCTTCTTCGTGCAGCTCCGTGTCCAGCCCTCAGCGTCCCAAACGCATCTGGACGGACACGGCTGAGGGCATGGACACACGCACCAGCGAGGAAAAGCAGGCGAGAACGGAGACGCCGGGAAGGGAAGGCAGGAGGGCTGGGAGTGCGCGGCCCCGCCGCCCGGGGGCGGAGTGGAGCGCGGCGTCCGGACCCCTGGGGAGGCGCCGCTCGGGTCCTGCCTCCCGCAGACCAGCCAGCGGGCGCGGGCCGAGCGGGGCGCCCGGGACGTGAGCGGGCGCCGGGGGACAGCGAGGCAGGTGCAGCCGCGCCCTCGGCTTCCTCTCCCGCGGCGCCGGGGCCGCCATGCCTCGCGGAGCGGAGGCGCTGGACCTGCCGGTGTTGGACACAGCCCCAGCCCGGTCCTGGGGGCCGGGCCGCAGGTCAGTACCCGGGGCACGCCACGGGCTCTCCATCCCACGGACCCTCCATCCCACGGACCCTCCGGGAGATGCCACCGCCGCCCCTTCTCGGGCTGCTTTCCCCGCGGGCTTCTAGCGTCCGCACCTCCCACCTCCGGCTCCATCGAGCCGCTTCGCTGCTTCCCGCCTCCCCGAGACACTGGCTCGGGACACGTGGAACAAGTCTCCCGGGAAAAGGTCTCCTCCGGGCGGGAGGCGGCGGGCAGAGGTGGGGACCGGGGCGGGGCGAGCGCAGGTCCGCCCGCAGCCCCCGCCCGCCCGCTGACGGCGCGTCCAGGGCCGCCCGCCGGGGACTGAGGTCCGCTGGGCGGCAGGAGGGTAAGAAGCGGGCGAAAGGGGGCGGGTGGGAGTTGGGGGTGTGAGGTGTGGGGTGTGGGGTGGGAGGAGAAGGGAGAAGTACCTGGAGAGCCCAAAGCAGGGAGGTGGTCCGGCAAGGCGACCTGCCTGTGCCAAGAATCCCAAAGTCGTGGAAAGTTTGGAAGGAGGAGGGCCTGCCTGGCTGCCCTGCCCTCTGCCTCAGGCCAGACAGCTCGAGGAAGGACTGGGGGCTTTCAGGGTGACCGTCGGGTGAGGCGCGTGAGCTGCGCCTTTGGGGATGTCGGACGGATCCTGGAGAAATCCTGAGGGCTCTCCTGGTCTAGACCATAGCATAGCCGACCTGCTGCCCGGGGGACGCTTATGTTAACTGCTAGCAGCCAGTTGAGAAGGCTGGGCTTTGCCTTCCGGAACAAACAGGCCTTTTCCTCAGGTGGGAGGGTTGCAGTGTGGTTAACCTCAATTCCTCTGCCTCATGAAAGGGGTACAGTTCAGCCCGGAGCGCAGCCAAGGGGCCCACATCAGTGGTCAAAGCTGCAACCAGCCAGCCACGCGGCTGCGTCTGGGCGTGATGAGTACAGAGGGGCCTTGGGGCCTCGGCTCCCTGTTCCCTGCTTGCAAAACAAATCTGGTGGCAGGTCGTTAAACTTTCTTAAAATAGAAGAGACACTTCCCTGCCTTTCCTGCATGGCACTCTCAATATGGTAAGTGGACTTAACGCTAGCAAGGAAGGCCAGGCGTTCAGAGGAGAATTTGCTTGATCCCTGGTGGCTGTGCAGAGGAGTATTTAATCCCAAGCAAACGTGCCATTTATTTTGTAGATTCTGGAAAGACCACTTTTGAATTAGAAGACATAATTTGGCTGCAACTTGTTGCAACAAAATGACCGGGTATCACGTAGCTTATAAACTATCTCCTTTAATGCTGGGTGTCGATTTAATGGGGCAGATGGGTAGAAGATACATATTCCTTCCCGAAAGGGCTATCCTTATCAGGAGAGGAGCAAATTGACTCAGGGTTCACTCCCTCACTGTCTTCTGCTTACATCGGTAAACAGGTTTGTGCTGATGGTGGTGTTATTACTTTTCTGTTTTTTCCCTCAAGTCCAGTATTTTTCTTAGCACATTTCTTTCAGGACTTAAAGGGTTTGTCATATCCGGTGAGAATCTTCAGAAGTTCCCATTCTTACAGCACGAGAGGACACACATTTGAGTATGCCTATAAATAGCTTTTGAAGAGATCCAGATTTGAAAAATACTATGTATAATATATGTACCATACCAGTGGAAAACAGAAGCTTGTGTGTCTTTGTAAACTGAGAATAGAAGAAGGGGTCAGTGAGGGAGGGGTAGGAGAGGCTGTAAATGTCAGGACACAGATTCTGATATTTTCTATTAAAGGGCCCCAGAGGCCAGATAAGGATTTCACACATTAAAAACTGCTCAACCACCTTTGTGATGTGCTAACCAAACAGCACCAGGTAGGGGCATCCGATAGCTTCTTTCTTTTGAGCCCAGCAATCTCAACACTTAAGCTCATCTTCCTCTTCATGCTTTAAGGCCAGCCCAACTCTCATTGCCAGGAAACTTCCCTTCTCCTTTCATGAGAACTTCCCATAAGCCAGGCTCCATGGCCCGGACCTTTTAACAGGCACCTTTTCCCACTTCCCCTGACCATTCCCATGCAGAGGCCACCATAATAGTGCCAATTTCATTTAACCCCTGGCAGTTACAATTTGATAAATCCCCAATGAAGTGTTTAAAGAGGCCTCATTCTTTTCTCCCATGAAGAAGCATATCAAAAGTATTATTTTAAACAAAATAATACATATGAAATACCTTCTTTAAATTTTTTTAAATTGATTTTAGAGAGGAAGGGAAAGGGAGAGAGAGAGAGAGAAACATCAATGCTGAGAAAGAATCATTGATCGGCTGCCTCCTGCATACCCTCCACTGTCTCCTGCACATCCCCCATTGCATGCCTCCCACTGGGGATTGAACCCCACAACTGGGACATGTGTCCTGACCGTGACCTCCTGTTTCATAGGTCGATGCTCAACCACTGAGGCACACCAGCAGGGCTATATGAAATATCACAAAGAAGCAAGTACTGGTAAGAAGAATAGGGAGAGAAGTTCTGAACTGAGTGGCAGAGAATACAGAACCAAGTCAGGGATGACCATCTTCACTAACTCATCTCTTTGGCTAGGTGTCTAACAGGAAAGTGAAACCCAGAATAAGACAGTTCTTAAAACAGGTGGCATCTTCTGGCGACAATTTTCAAAGTAAAAACAGTGATCAAAGAAAACCCCTTGGGCTATGACGATTAAAAGGGAAATCTTCCAGAGGCTGGACTGTGAGATACCTTCAGCTGGAGCCTGGAGGCTAGCATTAGTGCTGAAGAATGAAATCAGCTGAGCTCTTATAGCACCTGTTACCGACTTCATAGCGAAAAGCCATTTTATCCTCAGGCTGTATTTTCTTTGTCAAACTGCAATGTTCTTTTCCCTATCAAGTGTTTTAAAGCCTTTATTTGTTTACCCATTTGCTTACCTTGGCAGTTCTTTGAGGGTTTTTCCTTCCCACTTTCCTCATCCTGCCTGCAGCTGAGGTTCCTCTGTTTTGCATATGGGCCCCTGCCCCCTGCTCCCTAGTGTGAGGAGCCCTTAGCTGGAGGGATTGCTTCCTTTTTCTCCTCTGAAGGTTGAATCTTATATCTCCCCTGAAATAAATACGGTGGTTTCCGTCTGAAATGCCTGTCAGGCAATAACTGGTGACTAGTAAGACTAAGGATTCTGGGAAATTATCTTTGGTGTCTGTAATTACGGAAGAATTTACAGACACCAAATGGTGGGCTTTTAAAGAAAATTGTATCCCCTGTAGCAGTGGTCGACAAACTGCGGCTTGTGAGCCACATGCGGCTCTTTGGCCCCTTGAGTGTGGCTCTTCCATAAAATACCAAGTCCTGGGCGAGTCTATTTTGAAGAAGTGGTGTTAGAAGTAGTTTAAATTTAAAAAATTTGGCTCTCAAAAGAAATTTCAATTGTTGTACTGTTGATATTTGGCTCGGTTGATTGATGAGTTTGCCAACCACAGCAATAAGAGGGAATTGCTAAAAATAGGGTGAATTTAGGAACTTCCCAACTGACACTGAAGGGGGCCTGTCCAAAAATAAGGTAAATTCAGTCAATGTTTTGAGGGGAAAAATATTATTTATAATTTCTTTTAATTTTACATTTACTTACAAATTGTTATTAGCATGACCCTGTTACACTGGGCACATATTGAAAATGTTAAAGAAAGAGAACTAAGAAATGCCATAACTCCAGTCATCATCTTCAACTTTAACTGCATTTGAAATCTGGTATTGCTGAGAAACGGAGTTTTGTTTTTCTTATCTCTGACCCAGAAGGCTGATGCTTCAGGATGTATTTTCCAAGGTGGCGAGGCTTGTTCACAACCAGCACTTTTAGACTTTCAGTATGTGTAGCTGTCTGCTTTCCTGCTGGCTGAAGACAGCCAGTGGGGATGGGAGATGGCGGGATGGGAACTTAGCAGCACGGTTCTCTTTAGGGAAATTCCCCAAGGAATGCTCATATTTTAAGGGGAGTCCTAGTGGGAAAGGAAAAACCCCTACAGTTTTTCTTCTGTGTGCTTCTCAGGAGTAGAATGGCCCATGATTTTGATTTTATGTTCTGAGAGCGGTGCTGAGAAGGTAACTAAAGTTTCTTTCTTTGACTCCCCCCCCCCCCTCAACTTCCTTTAATTGGGGCTCAATTGCCCCAGAGAGAACTGGATCTCTCTCTCTCTCTCTCTCTCTCTCTCTCTCTCTCTCTCTCTCTCTCTCTCTTCCTCTTTCGAGAGATTAGCAAACCATGAGCTAATCAGTCCACTGTAGGAATTTAGAATAAATTAAACAGAAACCTGCTCGGTCAGTGTGGTTCAGTGGTTGAGTGTCAACCTATGAACCAGGAAGTCACAGTTTGACTCGTGGCCAGGGCACATGCCCAGGTTGTCAGTTCGATTCCTAGTAAGGGGCATGCAGGAGGCAGCTGAGCAATGATTCTCTCACATCATTGATGCTTCTCTCTTTCCTCTCCCTTTGTCTCTGAAATCAATAAAACTATATAAAAAATCAAACAAACAAAAAACTTTTGTTAAATTTTTATTACTTTAAAAAAATTTATTGTTGATGTGGGCATTGCTTGAGATTGGTCTAAATAAAATCTCCCATCTACCAGATAGCAGTGTCATTCACCCTAGGGCCAACACGGTCATTGCTGTGGAAACACTGAATCTCAGTCTGCATTCCACCACCCATTCACCACTTTTAAACTAAGGGCAGGGAAATACTTGATTACCTGATGTATATTATTTGACCCTTTCTTTTTGAAATAGCTTATTTTAACTCAAAATAATTAAAGATTTCACATGATAATTGCCAAAAAAAATTTAAGAAAATATGGAAAACCTGAAGAAAATTAAGATGACCCCAATACTATTTCAGAGAAAGTAGCAAGATTTTTTTTTCCTGGTTTATACTTTTAGCCTTTTAAAATGTCTACAATACAGATATAAATGTCAACATTTTTTGAAAAATGGAATCTCAAACTTTAAAAAAATTAACAATATGTCACAGACATCTTA